CCTTGGTGCCTGCGTCAAAGGTGTTGACAATCTATTTAGGATTGACGATCTATTTAGGATTGAGCTTCTACTGCAGCTGTGAGAGAGTAGAGGGCTCCAGGCTCAATACCGACTCCTAGCGCCCCACCCCCACCCCCCACCTCCCATGTGTCAGAGGAGACTGAGCTTTTGTACAAGAGAGAGACAGAGCAGGGCCAAGTTCTCGTTGGCCCTTCCTCTTCTGCTGGAGCTGGACCCTGCGTCTGGACCCTCCCAACTCCTGTTGCAGGGCCTGCCTATCCCAGGAGCCATCAGTGGACTATTGATGACCACGGTGCATTCATTCATTTGCCTCTGTATTTACCAGCCTGTGGCCCCCACCCTGCTTCGCCAGCCTGCTCATATGCTTTCATGGTGACATGAGCCAGAAGGCTGACTTGAACTGACCTGGCCTATGTTTAAAACTCTCCCATGTCCATCTCTTTCTATCCACAACTGCATCCAAGTGTCACCGGTTTTCCTTTCTCTAGAGAGCCCAACCTAACACACACACACATCAAACTCACACCAAACTTCACTGCCGCCGATGATTCTGATTCAGAGCAGTCACATCGGACCAAGTAGAACTGCCCCTGTGGGTTTCCAAGGCTGTGAGTTTTCACAGGACCAGAAAGCCTTGTCTTCCTTCCCCAGGGTGGCTGGTGGCTTCGAACTGCTGATCTTGAGGTTAGTAGCCCAACTCATAACCCACTGCACTGTGAGGTCAGCCTTTCTACTGATATGCCCCCAACCATGTCTCTAGCCAGGAGAGTCCTCAACATGGGTTCGGTGATTTTTACTCAAACAAACAGGAGGAGGCCATGGGAGGGCAAGGCCAGAGCTAAACCTCGAGGGAACTCAGAGGACCGACACCCAGAGTCATCCCCCAGCCCATGGCCCATCCCTGCCCAGAGCATCCCCTTCCGTCTCTTAGCCTGAAACAGAGCGAGCAGCAGGGTGGAGATCAGAGAGGCATCTCCAGCTGAAACACACCTCTTTCAAGGTTGCACTGTTGCCTCCGTGCACACTGTGTCCCTTGCCGCGAGGCCTGGCTACTGTTACTCAACATTTTGATCAGAGATTCTAGAGGAACAGGATGTCCGCTCATCATGGATCCCGGGCTTTCTGGAGCCCTTGAATGGAAGCTGGATGAGCGCCGTGCCCACAAACGATGTCCCTGAGATAACTCCTTAAACCTGAAACCCAAACCGTCTTCTGCAGTCTTCTTTGAGCCCAAATATATATATATATACACATATATATATACATATACACACACACACACACACACACACACACACACACACACAGAGTTCAAGCAGTCAGGTACGCCTGCCTTCAGCCCTGCGCTCTTTCAAAGCATGGCTTATGTGACATCAAATTGACCAGGGCAGCTCGAAAGACCAGAAGGCAAGCTTAGGGCAGCGAGGTTAAGACAATGGCGGGAGAGTGACGTAGAAAGGGACAGTGAGGAGGGTGGTGCCATTGGAAGAAGGGAACCAATGGGAATCGCCTATGTAGCGATAGTTAAAATGGTTTAGCCTTGGCCGTGTATACTTCCACCAAAGACGAATAAATGAAGGAATGCCCATGGTATCCCAGGACCCGTGGCTTTCAGGAAGGAAAGATGTGTTCCCTGCCGAGATGAGATGGCTGAAACCCGCTGCCTACAGATTCAGCCCATGAGAAACACAACCATGGAGACAAGCAACGAGGGCATCAGCTACAAGAGTTGCCAAAATTCCTACCCATTTTGCCTCTTTTTCCATTTGGCCCCTTTTCGCCTTTCAGGCCCTGGGGACCAGGCTGTCCATCTGAGCCATTGTGTCCTGGAATGCCATCCGCTCCTGCAGGTCCTGTGTCAAAGCACAAACAAAGTAAGGACATTCCCCCAACTAGTCGCTAGAGTGAGTGTGATTTCTCCATGTCCTCTCTTACTTCCGCCTTTCCTTCTCCACCTTTGCCGTCCCTCCCCTCACCCCTTCCCAGCAGTGACAGGGAGTGGTGCTGTAGGTTCTGGGGCTGGGAGGGGGGCAGGGGAGCTTGGGATTGGGGTCAAGAGGAGATGGAGAGGGGCTGCCTTCCGATCCCCCCCCCCTATCCTTTCCAGAGGAACATGGGAGGGAGGGATTCTCCCATACACTTCTTATGAAACTAGAACATCCATTGGGGGAACTTACCTGGTGGGCCAGGTGGTCCTGCAATAGAAGAAGACAGTTGGATGATAAACCACAGGTAGAAGAAAGAAAAACAGCATCCCAGCCCACTATTAACCACAAAGGTACTCATCTCCCAGTGAACCTAAGAACTGATCTGACACCGTTCATTTCAAACTCGGTATCATTGTCTCACCAGGTGCTGCTCAGCTGCTAACCAAACTGACGCAATGCACACCCACCCAGAAGTTCACACGGACACAAAGACCTGTCCATCTGCTTCCATCGGGATCGAAGTGAACCCAGGGCAGTGAGTTTGGCTTGGTTTCCCGTCATCTGGTTGGTTCTGACTCATCGAGACCCCATCGGACCGACCAGAACTGCCCCGGAGGGTTTCGGAGGCGACAACTCTTTCTCGACACAGACTGGGGGAGCAGCTGGCCGCTGCAGACCACTACCCTTTGGGCCAGCAGCCCAGTCAATGCTTAACCCATGGCAGCACCAAGGCCCTTTAAGATGGTAGCCTAGAAAAGGCGAGGGGCCAGTTCTAATCCGCGCCGCGGGGTCACCACGAACTGGAACAGACGTTGGCCCGAGAGAGTGTCCACAGCAGTTCAGCAAAGACTCGTTTGCCATCCCCGATCCTTTTTGCTGAAGTTTCCTTGGAAGGAAAATGTCCAAAGTGGCTGGGTATTCTCAGTCCGTCTATCAGGGTGGAAATGCAAATTCTCAGCAGTGGGGGTAGGGCTTTTATGAACCTGTTCCAAGTTCTGTTATGAGCTCCTGCCTCGGTACCTTTTCCCCCTTGGGAGTCACCTGCGCAAAAAGCCCAGGGCTTCCAGAGAGCACGCTTCTCAGACTACTGGCCGAGAGTTCTCCAGCTCCCCTGAGATGACTCACTTCTCTGCAGCTCCCTCTGTTGACACACAGGGCTGCTAACCCAAAGGGGGGCAGTTGGAGTCCACCTAGAGCCACCTCACGCTCTCTGGTTTGAGATGAACTCGTTCATCTCAAAAGATTCCAAATCCATTTCTGTTTTACTTTTCCTCCTTTCTTTTCAGCCACTCAGGCAACTATTTGGGTCTAAGGGATAAGGAACTTGGAGGGATTTTTGTTTTTAAAGAGACATACTGTATATATTTACAGAGCTCATCTTGAGAAATAAAATCCACAGCAAGAGCCCATGAAACCCTCCATACACGTGGTCCTCCCCCGTCCTCTAGCCCCCAGCTCCACCCCTGACTTGGCTCCCCTGCTACCAAAAACCATCTCCAAAGAAAGATCACTTTTCCCAGAAACCCCCTGAAGCTCAGTCTCCTCTGATACATGGGGGGTGGGGGTGGGGAGGGGCGCTAGGAGTCGGTATTGAGCCTGGAGCCCTCTACTCTCTCACAGCTGCAGTAGAAGCTCAATCCTAAATAGATCGTCAATCCTAAATAGA